GAGATCACTTCGCCCACTGCCTCATCGCCTTTGATAATGTCCACCGCAGTTGTGGACGAAACGTCAGGAAGAAATTCCCATAGACCACGGCTTCATAGCCCGGAAAACATTCCTAAATGTGATTTAACCGGCCGTGAAAGCCTTCATAGTCTGATAAACCATTTGTTGTTTGACGGCGTTTACGCTGACTGCGTATTGACCTCGGGGTTGTTTTCCTTCTCCACTGCATAAGAGCGACCCTAGCTGGGGGGCCACCACCACATAAATCCTGATGGCTGGCGCCCGAGAAAACCGCCGAAAACCCGTTCAAGTCCGAACATGTTAATTTACCGGAAATAAACCCTAACAATACAAAGAGAGCTTTGCGCTCGAGCAGGGACGTTATTTGGCATTTGCCGAAACGCCATTACAGTAGAAATTACGCAGGAATGCTCAAACGTCATTCAAAATCCAACCAAAAAGGTAAACGACAGACAGAACATAAAATTAATTAAATTATTTAAGGTTAGGTTAGACACGTTTAATACTGAAAGCAGTGAACTAGACATTYCAGTAACTATCATTACGTTAAAAAAATTAAGCTAATGCAGTATTAAAATCAGGATTAACCTTATTACTGCTTGACAGTCAGTATTTCCAATTTCCAATAACTCTCCAGGTACTGCCGATTTCACTAGTGATATTCGCAATTAAGTTGTGGGTTTTCCTTTATTTTGTATTTCGCTTTTAAAGTCAAAAGAAGACAAATAAACTACACCTACAAGGCAAAGACAAAACCGTCGCTATCTTCTGGACTAGGGTACCGCGCTCTCGTTTGCTTCACTGCATTATACGGGGTAAGTTTTTATCGACGACCAGTACAGAGATCTTCGAAACTATACCAGTTACGAAAAAGGTTAAATCGACAAAGAATTGTAGTTTTGAATGCTCTCCAGAAAACCAAACCAATTTTATTTTCCTAAAATTTGACAGCTGTCAAGAGATATTTGGGCAGAACTTATTTATGGCAAATTTTTAAATCACTCCTAGTYTCGTTGATATTAATTTGACCGGAAAATATTAAATAGAAAACTTGCACGAAATTGAATTTYGAACAAAATGGCATCAGCAATTTTAAATCAAAATCAATTCCTGGGCTTCAGTCATTTATCAATTAAAATACGTTTCGGTGTTTTCCGCCATCATCAGTTTCTATGTGTAGCGTTGTTGCTACTTTAAGCCTTGAATGACTGAAGCCCAGGAATTGATTTTGATTTGGAATTGAAACACAGTCAGGAAAGTATGTACAATCAGAAATTTTTTCAAAATAACTGTAATTTTTGTACATATGACACAAATTTGAGTTTTTTTAAATGGCARCCATCCTTGATTATTGCTTTACCGAATAGASCATTTTATTACAATTTCTGTGATATATCACATCGTTAGGGTTTTTTCGAAAATAAAGTATCCGCGAACAATTTATACTTTTTCAATTTAGTTGATCTAAGGTAGTCATGGAAAATAGTATAAGACATAGCATCGTTTCCATAGCAACAAATAATTACAACATCTTTCAATTTTTGACACTGAAGTTTAAATTCAACTTAGAAATCTAAGTTAATTTTACTGTAAAAATTAACTATTCCAATCAAAAATAGCGCGACATGATTGAAACCTACATTAGTTGTGATAAAAATGCTAGACGAGCTTCTGATTACTATTTTGAAGGGTATTTTGACCGTCGTTAACCGTCCTTGAAAACATTCAAACGATTATACGACAATTTGGGCACTTATGGAAGTTTTACGCAGCCAAAAAATGAAGATAAAGTATTAAATGAAGCTGTGGAGGTTAATGTCTTGGCCATTGTAAGCCATCCCAAAACACTGTGATAGGAGTTTAAAAAAACACAAATTCCATTCCACAAACGTTACATCCAGGGAATGAGGAGCTGCATGTGAATTTTTATACATGGTTCAGAAACCTTACAAAGTATTGTGGACCGATGAAATTCGAGTTGCAAATAATTGTGGTATGTTTAATCGACACAATAAACATCTTTGGAATCAAACAAATCCCCACCACGTTGAGCAAAGGAGACCACAAATTAAATTTGGAGTTAACGTTTGGAGAGGAATGGCAGGTTCGAAAAGTCGTGGGCCATTTATTTTTTAAAGGCACTTTAAATGGGAGTCGGTATCTTCAATTCTTTCGGAATAACCTAGATTTTTTGTTGGACGACTTAGATTTAGAAACATGGCGTAATGGTTTCAATCAATGGAATCACCTGGACCAGCAATTCCAACTCCCAAGTTGGATTGGACGAAACGGCCCTATTTTATGTCCACCTCGATCACCGGATCTTTAACCTTTGGATTTTTTTTGTGGCGAACCGTAACAATCACAGTTTACATAAACAAATATTCCAATTTAAATGCACTTAAAGAACCTGCTGTTAGAGCATTTGAAAATATTGATGGTCGGTCTGCAAGAAAAGCAACCTGTGTTTGTAACATGTTTGCCTTGATAATAATGGTGGACTTTTTGAAAATGTTTCACAATAAAAATCAAAGTTTCTAGAGATAAATGTTAATGATTATTTTATTTTAGAAAAACACTTTATTGTCGAAAAAACCTAACGATGTGATATATCACAGAAATTGTAATAAAATGCTCTATTCGGTAAAGCAATAATCAAGTATGGTTGCCATTTAGAAAAACTGAAATTTGTGTCATATGTCAAAAATGACAATTATTTTAGAGAAATGTCTTACACCATTTTATTTGGAATTCAATTTCCTACAAGTTTTCTTCCTATTAAATGTTTTCCTGGTAAATTAATATCAACCGAACTGGGGGTAATTTATAAATTTACCATAATTAAGTTTTTCCCAAATATCTCTTCACAGCTCTGAAATTTTAGAAAAATTTAATAGGTTTCGAGTAGAGCATTCGAAACGACAATTTTTTGTCCATCTGACCTTCTTCGTAAATGCTCTAGTTCCGAAGATTTCTGTATAAGTCATCGAAAAAAACTCACCCTGTAGAATCAATTAATTTTAATATACTATTAAAAAATATTCATATATTGTAATAGTATTGCAATTGTGCCGTTTTGGTTTCTTTGTTAATAGAAATCGATTAATTGTGGTAGTCGGGTAATGAAAATTACGATTATGGATTTTCATAAAATTCTCTCTCGTTATTTGGAATTTATAGCACTAAATTTTATCCTTTTAAGATGTGTCTTGTAATTCCATTTATTAAAAAAACAAGGCTGATCCTTGTGTTTCATGATTGTATCAAAATATATTGATATAAAGTAGTTTTTTTGCAGAAAAATCTGCAATCTGAACTTCTGCGCCACATTATCGACATTAACAATTTTAGAAATTTGTTTGAAAAAACTGTAAAAAAGTGTATGAAGAGAATAGCATGGACAGTTAAGTTTTTTTGTAATTATACTCTTAGGAACAGCTTATAAAAGACCTTGGTATTCTAATATTTTTAGAAGTTTTAAAGCAAACATAAAAGCTTTAATTTTGATGAAAAAGTTGATAGAATATTTGCTCAAATTTTGACAAAATTCATCCAAATGCTCTAAAATTCCCAAAAAATCCTTATTAATTGACTTGATACACTTATTAACTTAGTACAAAGACCCAAATATTTTTAAATTCGTAGTTCGATAAATTTAAGTATAGAAATAACATCTAAGATAATATTTATTTCACCACTCATTCAACTACATTAAGTCTACATTAAGTTTCCGATATAATCAACCTCTCATTAGCAAAATAACGTAAATTGATTTTTTAAATAAAAATCCAGTGAAAGGCACTGACAGTTTCAAATTAAGAAGAAATTAGTAAACTGCTACTTACCGCAAGAAAACGCAAAAAGCACCAGCACATACAAAAAGAAAAACTTCATAATATCGGTAACCATTCGTGATAGCGACACTTGAAGTGGCCCCAGATGCGGATTCACTGAGAAAATGTAGACAAGCTTCAAAGAACTGAAAAAAAAAATATTAAGAAATTTATATTGTCGATCACATAAGGACGATTTGGGATGTGTTCATTAACTGTGTTTTCAAGTTACTGTTAAAAATATTACTTTCGTCCACCCTATTTTTGTTTCTCTTTTCTTTCATTTAATCATGATTTATTGACTTAAGGCGTTTCCGGTTTAGTGAAGATGGAGCCCTTAAATATAATGCTGGCACAAGAAAAATTGTATTTTTATTTTCTGCCACTATTTGTTGACTTATAAGCCCAAGAACTTACATAGGTATTTATTGCCAATTTCCATCAGGGCACTATTAAACGATAGCAAAAATATTAATTTTTCAATTTAAATTCGTACAAATAACCCGTGTGCTGTTATGAAAATTGTGAAATATTTACTCAATATTCACAAATAATCCTATTGGGTTTTAAATCACATTGTCCAGTTGACGTAGCTTTATTATAACCCAATACACTTCAACTCTCTTTAGGTAAATGAGGCATAAAATTTATCGTGCATCGGGGAGATATTTACTCAATCGGTATTATAAATCGCCAATTAATTGCTTAAACATCGGAGTTTCGTTGATAATTTTCAAATATTAAATCCAGTCAATTCATTTCCGCTGAAACTGCTCGAAAGTTCCATTGTTCGAACAGAAAGTTGCAAATCCACTTATCGAAAACTTCGACCCCGTTTAATACCGATTTGTATACGAATCATGGCCTTTGGGTGAAATTGAAACCGACCGAGCTTCATAGCAAACATTAAAATAACTTTTTGAGTTTGGCCAAATAATTAGTAAAAGCTTTCGGTTTTAATAGCATTGAATAGACCCTTCGCCATGCTATTACCATATTCTGTCACTGATTTGTGGGTGCAATATGCAATATGTTAATTATTACACGGGCCTAATGTTGTAGTTTCTGCTGGTTATGGCAACATTTCGCACTTGTTTGGACTGGATTGAAGCCAAAATTTCACAGATAAACTCTGCCAAATCCGTTATAAGTATTTAACTTAGCTGGCAAAGAGTAATATTTTCTACAAAGAAATAATCGTTCGTATCATATTTAACAGACACTTGCTGGCGAGAGGCAGGCAAATTTAATATTACAGATGTGAAACAGTCGTTTACAGACAAAGCTGGAAACATTTACCTGAAAATATTTGCGGCTGAAAAAAGTCCCTCGGAAATAAGCATTGGATCCCAGTCATCCCAGTCTTTCCTTGGCATTACTTCCGGGCTCTGTGTTACCTTAAATGAATAATTCAGAACGTTTAATGTAATGTATTTATGGAAAACATGAAAATAAATTTCGGAAAACTAAGAGAGTGCAAATTCTGTAATTTTCAACACCTTCTTTCTACTACGATCTTTCACCAATAAAATTTTTTCGTGTGCAGGTTTATATCTGAATGCTAGACCTTCCTTGTTATTTTATTAATTATCAGTAAATAATTAATTATTATTCTACTTAATAAGCAACATTTGCAATGTAATAATTTTTTAAATAGGTTTGACTTTGATAAAAAAAATTTGCAACGAAAGCAAAAAAAACCATTGTAGATTTTTAGAATATTATTTTGAGATATAAGAAGAAACGTAAAATTTCTTTCTGTCTTCTTTTTTTATTTAACCATTTTTTGCAATGCATATTTCTGTATACGCTGACTAAGTCGCTCTAGTCAATGTTGGGCCGATTTGTCAGCATGATACAGCAAAGAATAAAATTAAAATAAACAAAGCCAAAACTGAATTAAATTTTCTCGTGATTTATGCCATCATTTGCGTATGTAAAATTTGACAAATTGGTGGGTTTTTCAGATTTTAGGTTTTTGTTAAAAACAATCGCCAGATGCTTGTATCTCTTTGTCATGTAAGTCCAAAACCCTTATTTTTAAGCCTCAACATTTAATGTCTGTGAGTTTGCTCTTTTTACAAACTCACGTAAAAATCCGTAATATAATCGATTACCAATTAAATTTTCAATTCTTAAAGTCTTCAGGCAAGCATGCATAGATTGTTCAAATTTATATTAGCGCTATTAAATTATAAAATTTCTTCAAAACTCTTTAGGGACAAACCATTCTGTGATAACCGTTTTCTAAAAAGATAGAACACCGAATAGATAAGCTAAGCAAAATATTTTAAACCCCTTCATTATGAAAATCGTCCTAATTTGAATAGAAATGATTCCATTGTAGACAGAAATATACACGCGAATCATTTAATTTTAACATCAGCATTATAAGCCAATTTAAATATTCATGTTACAGTTTACTTACTGTACTAATTGTACAAAATACAAAAAAATACAAAGACAAAATCTACAAAGACTGAAAATTCCTTACCTCGTAATATGAGACAACCCTTAAAGCAACGGTAGCCACATACAAGGAATTCGTGATAAAATCAATGACGTTCCACATATCTCTTACGTATTCTTCAAGTCCAACGTCCCACAGCTGCTTTATTTCACTCCAAATTAAACCTAAAATAATTGCATTTCATTTACTTTTCTCCGTTTTATTCCATTTTCCGACGAGATTTCTTTAACGAAAACTCACGCTCTCAGCTTTTGATTTAAGCCAAAAAGCGTTGCTTTGTTACTGGAAGCGACGTCTTCTTGCATCAAATAACAAAAGACAATTATTATCCTGATTATCTCGCTCGGCACAAATACACATTAATCCTAACGCAATAATTCGCTGTATAAGCGTTCAACTAATTGCGATAATTCCATTAAAGCATCCCAGCTTTAGTATATTTAATAACTCCCTTTGGCAGAATGTCGTCGACTTAATTGCTTCGACGATAAAGTAATATAAAGTTTTCATGTAAAAGCAACTTCGGCTCTCATTTGGAAGAGCGAAAGATCAAGTGCTTTAACATCGCCGCATTTGTTATACGTGATTATTGTAAATGCCGTTGAATTTGATTAATGCAGTTTTGGGAACGTTTTACTTGCCAACATTTTGTGTGCAGAATTTATAAATTGATATACAACAATGGAATTAAATCCTACTGCATGGTCGGGTTTACTTACAGGGTTAGTTTTAACTGCTGATATAAAGAAACAGTTAATAAAATTAATAGAAACTTAACTCAAACTTTGAGTGAAATTAATTTACTGCTTGATTAATTGCTTTAACATCGCCCGAAAACATTAATAACAAAAATAAAAGAAATTCTATTATTAAGTCGCATTTTCCGGGAGTGAGAGGATATCACACATAAGGAAAAAGAAAATGTCATTAGCCAAAAGCAAAAATATAACTCAAGAAAACGTGTGCCAAATTGGGAACCAGCAATCCAGGAAAATTCTAGTTTCGCGAGGAAACGAAGGTAATTGCAAGGGTGGTATTGAATAAGTGAACAAATTTTAATTAAAATGGCATTTGATCCAATTAAAGAAAATATCAAGCACAAATGGAAGCTCAAAATAAATCTATTATAACTTTTTATAAAAATGTAGTACAAAAAAGTTCCCATGTTGCACGCTTTTGTTTTAAATATTTATTTGCTCAGAAACAATAACGTCCAGAATTGCAGGACTAATTAGAGAGGATCTATTCTAAGCATGACTACATTTGGGGCTTCAAATCGTTTTTGCCTAAAAAGTTGGAAATTTTGGTAGTCCCGATGTTCAAATTTCTGTTCCTTAGCTTTACATATTCATTTGCTTAAAAACTGGAAAGTTCAGAGTTAAAGTAAATAGATGAAATGAAAGAGATTTGGAGCACCAAATCACTTTTGCTTAAACTTAGAGGAAAAAAGAACGGTGTTAAGGATAAGTCCTGAATTTTCCGTTATCTCTTTGCATATTTATTTTATCAGCAACCAGAGTAGCTATGTTCTAGTGATACCAATTTTTGCGCGGCTCCAAAAGCAAAATTTAATTTAACTTAGATGCTGAACTTCTGAATTTTTTTGCTTTGCTTATTTATTTACTTTATTTTTATAATTTAGAACTTCTAGAATCCAATTTAGTGCAGGGCTAAGTTAAAAAGATCGCATTGTATTGAGCACGAAATTTGTGGCTCCAAAACGCATAGGGCTGATTTTTGCAAAGTTTTGCAACTTATAATCCTCAACTATTGCTGTCCCTCTTTGTTACTTTATCAGCGATTGGGAAATCTAAAATGTGAGCCAACACATCATTAGATAGCTAAGACTCGCTTCATGGATCCCATAATTTTCTGTTCTTAAACACTTTGGAATTATTTTTGGCAAATTTTTGAAATTATGCGTTGATTGTTGTCATATTTATTGGCTCAGGAACTAGAGGGGCTAGCAGACGGGACATTGTACAACTAAGTACACACTGTCTAATCTTACTCTATTGAGTTTTTAATTTGCAGCCTGAAAGCGGCAAATTTCGGAAATTCTGTTCCACAACTTTTTGCTTTTCCTGTTAGCATATTAATTTTCTCTTCTCTTCTCTTAACTGGGGTAACGTGAATCAAGGTATAATCAAAATTTGCACCCTCAAAGCACGATTATCTGATTTTTGGAAAATTTCAAATTTTCTTGTCATATTTATTGGCTCCGGAACTTAGAGTGCCTAGGAAACCGGGCATTGTGCAACTAAGTAGACAAGATCTAATGCTATTCTATTGAGTTTTGAATTGGTAGCCTTAAAGCGCATTTTAGTCTGATTTTTGGGAAATTTCATAAATTCCAATCCTCAACTTTCTGCTTTTCCTCTCCCCTTTTTTGTTTTTTTGTCCGAGTGGAGTAGCTAGCATGTGGGGCATCCTATTTTATTCAAATCAGCATTCGCACCCTCAAAGCACTTTCGCCCTATTTTTAAGAAATTTCGCAATTTGTGTTGTACAATTGTCGTCCTATTTATTACTCAGAGCGGCTAGGAAATGAGGCAAGTACACAATATCTCATCCTGTTCTATTGAAGTCTTAATTTGCAGCATCAAAGGGTATTTTTGACTGGTTTTTGGAAAATTCCGATATTCTGATTTTGAAATTTTTGCTTTTTCTTTTTGCAGATTTATTTTCTCAACAACTAAGAGGGCTACAAAATGGGACATTATACGACTAAGTACAGACGATCTTATTCTATGAAAGTCGGACATCTGCGGTTCTTCAGCGCTTTTTGCTGATTTTTGGGAACATTTTAACATAAATAAACACATTAGTCGATTGTAATATTCATTATCTAACTATGAAAAAGTCCTCCGTTTGGAACTTTGTCATGACATTTTCATCCCAGAAGATTAATTCAGAATTAAGTTGTTGCAAAATGTGAAACAATTCTCTTTTTAGCACTAATTACCTGAATCTCATAAAGGAAAATGTCAGCAGTTTATTCCCTATTAACAGCTAAATGGAAACCGGGAACATTTTTCAAAAAAAAAACTTCGAAAAAGAACATAAAACCGCACTCATATTTGTTGCCGCAAACCCTCCACAATTTTTCATCTTAACATACAAACGCGTGTTTTAAATTACCGTTGTTACTTAGCCGCTTTGCAATTACGCGGCACTCAAGGCGCTCTTTCAGCTTTCTAAATTTCCCGAATAAAAATGGACATAATTCTTTGTTCTGTTAACTTACCACTTACGTAAGCCAATATGATCCATTCGACCAAGGTCGGTTTCGCTCCTCTTTGGATGATCACTTCCTCGTCGCCTCCATTGAAAAACAACTGCCGTTGTGAAGCGAGAATTAACATAACTGGAAAAACCCGAAAGGTTTCAAAATACATGTCAAGTCAAGCAAATAAGGCGCTACAAACACTGATAAAGTTTTTTTACGGTTCCCATGTTTCCAAGTTTTTGCCCGGGTCTTTACCACACCCCAGGCATAGTTTTAGCCCTTACAAATGCACGCCTATCAACATTTTCGGTTTCACAGGGAATTGAAGCTGAAAAAAGTTTAAACTTTTTACACACGGGAAGGCTGACTTGAAAACCAATTCGAAAAGTTGTGGAAAACGATGAAAGTTTCTTTGGTATTTTGCTGATTATTTATAATTGCCCTAAGGACTTGTTTATGAGGCAAAATGGGGATGTCTGGATTGTTTTCAGTTTTATAACAGTACAAAGAAAGCTTTTGATAAATAACATAAATGAAAAGAGCTTCAGAGGAAAGTAAGTAAATCAAATGATTGTGTTAGTAAGACAAAATGTGATTTTTAAGGCAAATTGTATGCAGTGTAGCTTAATTTTTTAATATGCGTTGGTTCTGGGATCTTTTCCTATCGTAAATCATAATAATGATTCCCTATAGGAAAAGTGATAAAGTCTATAGTGAATGCGCTTAAATGCTAACTGATTTCGTCGAATATAAAAAAAATTCCCAAAATATCGAAAAATGAATACAATTTTTTTTATTTGGGTCATTTCTGGAAAAAATTAAGGAAATGAGTTTAGAATAGCAAAGATTGGTCTTCCAGTATTTGTTAGGCAAAAAGCTTAAAGAGTTTTTTACATTTTCTTACCAGCCTTTTTGTTACAACCCAAACATACTTTTTACGTGTTCGTGCAGCAGCTGAATTGCTTAAGAATGCTCGCGAAGCAATAACATTCACATTTTCTTCAAATGTCGAGATATTCTCAAACGAAATGTAAATTATTCATAACAATTATTTTCTCTACATTATGTCTGGTTTCAAATTTTGGGGTGTATTCAAATGAGAAATTCTGGGGCTGAATGAAAATGCCCTTGATTTCATAATTTCTCTGTATATGATAACCAATTTACTTTTAACAACATTATTTGCATGTTAATAATTTTGCATAATAATTGCATGTATATAAAATCAATAAAAAACACGCAATTAAATGACCAGCATTTAAAAATCTGGTTGAAATCGAAATGCAAAAAGAGAAACAATAATAAATATAAATTTCACTGAAAGGTGCATACAAGAGCTGAATAAAACTCATACTTCTAAAACTAACGTTTACTCCCATAAAGCAAAAAGGGAAAAAATATTAATGCAATCTCCAGGAGTTTTAAGCACTCTCCATTAAACTGATTATTCAAATTCGGTGGCGCCCATAAACTTCATCGCCTCATAACACATCAACCTTTTGCCAACGAAAAGCTGTAGTCATTAGGAAATTTTATCGAAATCAAATGGTTTGTTGCTACAGCAAGAGTATAAAAGTCCCCTTAACTACCCAAGAAATAAAAAATCCATCGCAAGAGGAAAGAAAATTGCCTACAGCACAAACTTAGGTAGGCAAAGCAGATATGGATAAAATTAAGCAAAACAACTTTAAATTAATCGTGTGGAAGCCTTCTGAGGCAAAATTGTGCAATAGTCGTGATTATTTTGTGAATAAATAATTATTAAACTGAGAGAAGCATAAAGTGGAAACTTTTCTGATTATGTTGCTCTCAGCTGGAGATCCGACTTGGGAAAGGGACTTTAGTGGAAATTCGCAAGCAAATTTGGGCCTGCATTAGCATATTTCAAAACGCAATGTACATTCCGCATTCACAAAACACCCTCTAGACCTACACTTTGTCAGCCTTGGAGGCAAGTAGTTTCTGTACATCATCTAAAAAAAACTTATGTATACTTACATAAGAAGGTAAAGTAGCTGGCAGAGTGACAGATGAATTTAATAAAAGGCTTCCTCATCGTTTGTCCAATGACTGAATGGGGGGCCACGATGTAAGCGATTGAAAAGAATGGGAACAAAATGCCAATTCTGACTATTTCCAGAGCTTGCAGCACCATGTTTTTTCGACGGAATCCAGGCAGGCCTTCGTACCAAATCGATGCCAGCAGTTGCTGGACATTCGAGTGCGCCACAAACTAAAATATTAAAGTTTCTAGCTATTTTTTGGATTTTTCCAATTGGGGTAAAATTGCAAGTTGTAAATCGAAGCCTACGGTTTACTGGGCAGCTACAGTCGTAAGACAGTGATAATTAAAAAAACATACAGCGAATTTATTAGGTAAACAATGCCAAAGTTTACTCAAGTTTTAACAAAGTAAAATTTCTGTAGAATTATGGATACAATTCAATTTTGGCACTGCCAAGGAACGTCGGAATATGATTGATGAGTAAATCCGAATATTTCTTAAGGTAAATTAAATCCGTCCACTCCCTCGATCGTTTAGCAAAAATGCCGGCCAGCAATAGAAATATTTCGTTTAAAGTTCACCGACCCAAATGTAAGGCAGGCGGTTAGTGAACCAGCGATTGTAAATCGGGCCCAGCTTACCGATGATACTGCCTATCGCAAAGGGTTAATGGGGCGTCGACGGTAATTTAGAATCCGCACAAACACGAAAAGTAAATCGCAAACTTAATTGGATACTAAACTGGGTTTTCAGTCCTTTCATTTCCTGCAACTTTTGATTTGCTTTAAATTGTATAGAGTGGGTGGCAGGGACGAAAATGGAACATTGCAGACTCAGAAATGCGGCTGGTTTATTTATGCAAAAGTGGTCGATATGATTATTTGATCCAATAAAAAGCGAAATTAAGTTAGAAGCTTAGTTAAGAAGATTATTTGGCAAATTGATAAATTTCTTTGCTAAGCGTCAGTTTGCAATTGACCATTACTCTGTATATGAACCTTGCAACTCTCAAGCTATAAGCATTAAAATTCTGGAAGTTGCTAGATTTGCGTTACACGGGAAAAGTATAACTTTGCAGTTCTAATATTTTCATAAAATGGATGTCAGACACTCATAAATTATGAACAAATCAAAAATATTTCGCATTTCGATTCTTTAACTGTTGTACTTATCTTTTGATTTGACGAAGGCATGGAAAAATTATTTCGGCCATATTTTTCCTACCCTTTCATATTTTCTAACACTTAAGCTTTCTTGATATGTACATGTTAATTCAATTTTTCGATTCTAACAGTTTGAAAAACCGTTTCTTGGCCAATTAACTGAGTTCAAAACACCACTTAAGTCTTATTTAATTAAATAACGTTTGGAAATATTGAAGGCTGTTAATAAATGATTGGATTTTTTCGCGACTTAAGCGGACACATAATTTTTGGATTAAGGAAAAATGTCCTGCTTTCGCCAGAATTCGCGCAGAAAGAATTTAAAGGCTGATTCACACAACCAACCGACCGGCAGCGACACGACAAAACATTCTTATGAGATAAGTAAATGGTGATGTTCACGTTAACCGGCAACGGCACAGCTTCGTCGTTGCCTGTGCAAACCTTGCTTAGGTCGCGAAAAAATTCCTTTTATATGAATATTTGAACGCCAACACTCTTCATTCGTTGTTTATTAACTTCTATATCTCAATTGAAAGTTTTCATAATTCCAGCGCAGACATAATAACCATATTTCAATTCAGAGTGATCGGAAACATCCGAAAATTGTGTTATGAGTATGTTTTTTTAAGTTTCTCTGATCCTAGCGGTTAGTTGCAAGCATGCATAAACTTAAAACGTGTTTTAGTTAGGGCACACTATTGTATTTATTATTGAAATAAACGTGGTGAATTTAGGAGTTTTGTATTTGTATTTAGGTATTCCATAAATGTCTTCATTTTTATGTTTGAACATGCTTCTTTGGATGGACATTTTTGATGAGAATAAGTTGCAAATTGGGTGACGGCTGCAATTACGAGACCAATAGACCAATTATACAAAACATCCACGATTAGAGTCCCAATGTTGGCAAAGAAGCGGACAGTATTGCCTTGCAAAATTTTGCAAAAGTATCAGTACAAATTATTGTACAACTTGCGGACGTGTTACGATTAGTGATAACAATATCTTTGCCATAGTTCACAATCAATGCAATATTTCTTAGCTTTCATGTCCAGGCTCTCATAGCGTATAATACATAGTCTAGTATTTTGTATAAAATGTAATTTTTCAGTGTGAAACCAAGCAAATAACCTAAAGTTTCTGATTTAACAGTTGAGAATACAATGCTGTCTTTGATTATTTTAAAAAGTCCCAAGATCCAACTGGTTTTTATGCGAAAAGTAATTAAATTTTAACTATTTTTTACTTTAAATATATTTTTTTAATACCAAATAGTAATCTAAGATACCGAAAAATCTAAGAAATACATTTACTCAAATGTTGCAAATTTTTTGTGCTAGCATAACTTGTCAAGATATTACACACGCTTTACTTTTTCCCGTTGAAAGGGCATTTTTCAGCATGTAACGAGAGCAAGGCAAAACGTTGATTTTAGTTGCTGTACATACATTTATTTAGATTTCCTGTCGTCATATACAGGGGACTTCGAGTTTCGAATAAAAATTATTTAAATCACATTTTTTGTGCTTATGTCCGAATACATCATTTGATTTGAATCGAATTGAATAGAGTTGCTGATAGTTAAAATTAATTATAACTATCAGCAACTCAATTAAATTAAAAGTCAAATTTGAATACTTTCCTAATTTATTTATGAAAATCGATGTCATCATCAGCCCTCATCAGTTGCGCCAACCAAGCAATTTACGGTTTATGTAAAAGGTAGTTGCAATTATCAAGGAATGTATCGATGTTGTAGAACGGCACTTTTTTCAAATGCTTAAATATTCCAATAGCGTACTAATCAAACAGGGGACCATTTCAAAATGTTATTTAATAACAAAGTTGAAATTCGATTTTGGTCTGTTAATATTTTCTAGATAGATAGTTAGATAATTTTGAAACAAAAATTTCTATATTTTTCTCGCACTCTCCAAGTGAGCCCTTGACAAGACAGCACATTACATCTCTTCAGTCCTTATAAATGGATATAAAAAATATTGAAAACATTTTTCTCAATAAATTTATAGAAGAAATTAATATTTGAAAATCGAACGAAAAACGATTAGAAAATTTAAACTAAAAAAGTGTTAAAAAAGTGTATTTCTTAAATTTTTCCAAAAGTACTCGGAGTATTGCACAACAACTGGCAACCATGCAGGGGATAATTACCGAAGATGGGCTACATCCGTACCATATATGTCAGATATATAAGACACATTAATTATTTCGTCTACTGAACCCCGGTACAAATTGAGCACGAGGTGATCAACCGAATAGGAGGAGCTGCTCAAAATGCGAACTCAGTTATGCTACAAAAAGTTCACAACAACGTGATTACACGGGCAGAAACATGTTTGGAGTTAAGCGCAACCTTCAAACACCGCCTGTGAGTTGTCAACATGTCACAACAAAACGATTCTCTTAAAACCCACATTTTAAATTCTAAGATTTTTTTCATCACAATAATCGGAATATTTCTCTTATTTGTAGGTTACCGACTTTCTTCTTGTTGACTTAATTGTAAATCATTTGATCCATAACCTTTTATAGGAGGTAACTGACTTTTGACGTTGTTGACATCAGTTGCCATAACCTATTGTATTGCATTTCAACCTCACTTTCAGTGTTTATCTATAGTTTCTTGAGCTTTTGATATTTAAGAAGCAACAGGTATTTGCGTAATATTAATGGGGCACATAACCTTTGAAAAACATTGTTGCCGTCCTTGTCCTAATTTGTTGCAATTATCTGAGTTGTTAAGAATTATTTTTTACTGTTTTTCCTTTATTGTTCGTTACGTCCAGAGTAATGTCAAATTTTGAATACAAATATATTTAAAACACATTATTTTGCTTCGCATGTTTCAAAATGAGTCATTTGGTCAGAAATGCGGCTTATTCTTCGTAAAGTTTACACTGTTAAAAAAAATAATTTTGCAATAAAATAGATTTTTTTCAGTTCAGTTAGTTTCAGTTTCAGTTAGCAGGATTAGTGTGTGAGTACCGCTGTGTATGAAACATGGGAATATCAATCTTTATACTTACAAAATCATCCGTGTTGCTAGTTAAACTTGAAAAGCTATATCCACATACCTCGAATTTATTTATGATTTTCGAAATTTTTAGAAAGTTACATGTTATTCATTAAAATCCCAAACTTGACCAAACGTTGTAAATATGTTTGATCTTTCAACAACAATTCATTTTGAACAATAAATGACGCACACTTTACTATTTTCACTACAATATAATTTTCTAGCATTAAACAAACAAGCGACTTAAAGCTTGTCCCGAACTTATGATGAAAGTTGCATTTACTGTCGGCACCTACAGGGTAATTCTGACTATGTTGCATCAAATATTTTTTGTGTTCTCTGCAAATCGCAATATTATCAGTCTAAACCGGAGCTAACAAATAAATTGAATTACCGTTCACAACTTTCTGTCTTATCATAACTTGGCAGGGTATGACACACACTTTGCAAGCGTAAGTAAGTCAAAGTTTGTTCTTAGTTGCTGGGTTAATTACACTTTTTGGCATAAAATGTCCTAAAATTTGTAAATCCCAATGCTTCTATGTAAGCAATGTGCTTACTAGCACTGAATAAAAATGCGATTTAATTGTTCCTGTTATTACTTGGGTTTCATTTTACCCCGGAACTCGCACAAGTAGTTTCACTTTTCAATACTCCTAGAAACAGAGGACACTCCGCCACTTTTGAAACTATACGCATTAACAACTAAATTAAGCTGAAGATACACGTTCCAGGTAATAAGCTTGCTTAATCGATACCCTGTAGTCAATTTATCGCACAAAGCTTCCTACAGGAAACTAGCAGAGCATCTGCTTTAGTAAGCTAATGCAACGAACTCCGGCTTACCTTCTTTTGTCTGAGCTTAATGGCTAACTTCAGTCGGTTGAGGTGCATCCGGTCTCCATGCTCAAATGCCGGCCCTGTAGGGTCATGATTTAAAAGCACTTCGAGCTCGTAGGAGCTCCTTGTGTGGTCCAAAAGGGCTGTCGCAAAATCTTGACACTGTTTTCGCAATTCCTGATATTCGCCCCGAAATTCGTGTTCCATGAAACTTAGGCTGAAATAAAACAAATATTCTCAATTATTCCGAAGTTGAAGAAAAGCAACTTTTTCCAAGTTTGTTTGTTTCCCTGTTCGCATTCGGGCTTATTAAGCTTTCGATCGCTCACGCACTGTATTTAGATCTATTACATCTACTAAGTGACTTACCGTCTTAATTCCCAAGAGAGCTCAAAAGCGGTCAAAATGGGGTCTTTAGAGGACAAGGCGATAAGGGATGGAGATGCCAAGGCGCGATAGGCGTTTATTCTAGATCGCGAATGTCTTAAGGAGTCTTCCATTCTCGACGTTACGCACTCGTCGCATCCACACCTAAAAGCCTCATATTCATAGAGCACAATATCTCCTATAAATATTGATTTATTCACTACTTTTTCAGTCACTTTATTTATGTTGGAACCATCCAATATTCCAGGAAAATTGTAAAATGCATGAACGCATATGAATTTATACAGTTATGGACGCATAAAAAATGATGGCATGCTTCTTTTCAATTCAATTTCATGGCAGGTCCTTAAATGTTTTACAGCCGAAACATGGTTTAGGTGAAATTGAATTTTACATCTTTTGTTGTGTACAGTGTTGGAAAATACAACTTTTATGCTTTAAGCTAAATCCTGGGAAAAACGTTATAAGAGGCATTTTCGAGCTAATGTGGGATGGGCTTCAACGACCAGTTAAATTTATATATTTTATTTACATTTCAACTGTTTTAATAAAACTTAAATTTCGACTGTTATCATATTTAAAACTCAGCCTAATTCACGTAGTTGTTAAATTTGAGATTTGTTGAGAGGGATTTAGCCTATGTAAAAAAATAAATTTTTTGAAAATCTGTTAGACATCAAGTTTTGAAAATAAAAAGTAACCTATTTAGATAGTGGTGGTTCTACAAAGCTTTATTCTGTTAGAAATGAAAAAAAAAATATTTTACTAAATTTGCATATTACGACGATAAAACTTCATTTATTCAAACAGCAATAAAGTAAAACTTTAAATATTACACAATAAAGGAGAATACAATTTTCGCATTTCAAGATATCCTTTTTTTTCGAAGCTTTGGCCATATCAAACATAAAATTGACGCTAAACGCTTTCTCACCGACGTAAAACGATCAACAAAAATTAAAGCAGAGGAACAACGAGTGAAAGTTTGAAAATAAAGCGTTCTTACAATGCTTTACAGAGGGTTAAGAAAAGAACATTTTTTACGTTGGTTCATGTACAGGGTGTTCGGATTCTACATGCTAAAATAATGGTAGTATCATAACTTCGAAACCTGAATATTTGTCGAGTTAAAGCCCATCAATTTTTTATACTGAACATTTTATCGAGGATTAAATTAAAAATTTGGTACCAAGTTTCATCTTAGTAATCTTTAACTTTCTTATAAAAAATTGTTTCTCCACTTTGCCTGAAATCAAAATTTCATTTTTCGATTATCTTTTTCGGCACGCCAAATATCGCAAAGAGTGATATGCGATTTTAAAGATTAGAGACTACTTGACAAAACATGTGGTCTTGACACGACTCGAAAAACTTCTGAAATCATGTTTTGTCTAGTATTATCTAATCTTTAAATTCGCATATCACTCTTTGCGATATTTGGCATTTCAGAAAAGATATGCGGAAAATGATCTTTCTATTACAGGTAAAGTACCATCTAGTGGCAAAGTRGAAAAACAATTTTTGATCAGAAGTTAGAGATCACTTTTATAAAACTCTGTGCCCATTTTCAATTTGATACGCKAAGAAATGTTTACAATAGGCCAAAAATGAGAATAAAAATGATAATATTATTCTTCGAATTTYTGCCACATCTACAATTATTTTAGCATGTAGATCACCCTTAAAAATTKCCTAACGAATTTTCCGAACACCCTGCATTGGGTGGGTGTTTTTGGCTCTTATTTCTATCAGTTAATTTTATTTTGWTTAAAAAAAATGTTTTGATATTTYTTCCACAAAAGCCAAACTTACCGTACGTCATGAGGCATAGGCAAAGTWGCTCCTCGATCTAAAAGAATTTTAATAATCTCGTAATTATCTCTATGGGCGGACAATATTAATGGTGTTATATCCGGTGTGAAAGTGGCAGTGTCYGGTGGTAAGGCTTCCCAGCTCTGCAAAAAAATCTGRTATTATAGAAAAAMRWATATTTAAGTCAAGGSAAATGTTCCTAGCTCAAATAAGCTGGCAGAAATAGTAAAATTTCAGTCAAAGAATTGTTGCTTTGCTAATTTGCAATCAGCCATTATACCAATAAATTAAATTGAAATTAGAGAAGGAAACGTTATAAGTTTTTTAAAGGGAACTTCTGCAAAAAACTAATTTTCAGACGTCGTTGACAGGAAATTATGAAAATATCCATTAAAAAAACAAGCAAATTAATTTATTGGAACAAAATATCTTGAATGGTGTAGACATGTAAAAATGAACTCAATTAGTTAATGCCGATTGTTGTAAATGCAAACGAAACGTTTACTTGCAATACCCATATAGATAGGCCTGGATAACACTGCCTTGAGTTACGCTTTAGAGTTGTTGCCGCTCTCTGTCATAACTCATTTATTAAAGGGAATTAATGCTTTGCAAAACCCAAATCAAAATTTTTATATCTAAAAAAAAGGTCATCAAAGTTTTTTATGAGTAACGTTTTAACAGCAACGTAACTGAGTTACCGGCGCGTTGTGTTGGTGCAGCACTGCCTCAAAATTCACCGAGTTACCCACAGTTATAACCCAAAACTCCTGGGCTTAATTTTAAAAACATGTACGTCTCAAACGATAACTGCTTCATTATTCATAACTTTTTTTTAAATTTATTTTCCTGACTGCGAGTAATTGTTATTATATTATTTTCTTTCCTGGGCTCCAGTCACAGTGTGAAACAATTTTTTTTTGTATATGGTTTATTTCGTTTTATTTTTTTATTTCTTATGTTTTTATTTTATAATTCGTTGTTTAAAAAACATGTTTCACACTGTGACTGGAGCCCAGGAAAGAAAATAATATAATTATTCATAACATAAAGGTCGCTAAATATCAATTAGAACATTCATTTTGGTGCTGATGATTTTCGGTAATTTACGTTTTGTTGCCAGCCAGCCGGAGTAAGCGCATGAAGGCTATAAACATTTGCGCAATTTTAAACAATTTGTCAGCGTGTTTGCTCGATGATAAATTTCGAAACGTCTAAATGAACACATTTGTTAAGCGAAGAATGAAAAAATAAAATGTGTTGAAATGAAAAGCGTCAGATGATATAAAATGGGCTGCACGTGGAATTATTTATCTGAGTGCAGACAATGAATAAAGTCGCGTGTAATTCAATATTTCATTGGACAATAAATTCACTTTTTATTGAATTTTTTTGGTAATTGAAATGGGAAACCGTTAATCCGGTCGTGCTTGTTTTTACACCCGCAAACTTCGCAATCGTAAACGCAATAAAAGTTATTAATAAATGGACGGGCCAAAATCGCTATTTATGTAAACAAATGTAATTTTCTAATGTTCATGTTTATGCATGGCATGTGTAATATAAATTAAGCGCACTGAAAATGGGATGAATCGTAAATTGCAAATAGTCATTAAACAGCTAATTCAGTTAAATATAGAATAATTTAAAGTTACTTTAATTAGCCTAAGTGCTTGCTTCGATTAATATTTGCTGGGAAGATATATTACGCATTAGTAGTAGAAGTTATTTATGGATTTTGTTGCTTGACTTTTATTTAAAAAGTGCTCATTCTGAAAATCAAGAACAGTCTGGGCCTACAGCGTGTTCGCTTACCGTGGCGGTAAGGCATTTAAAGTATTTTTAATTCGATAACTTACAGAATTAGTGTTTCAGAGAAGTTTTTGGGTAAAAACGGTTGATACATTTTTGAGCATTTGGAACACTTAGAAGAATATTGAACCTTGAAAACTTCCTATAATGACCTTTTTTAAACAGAGATGTATAATAAAAGCATGTCAATCCTGGTAAGAAAAAAAAGACTAAACGCCAAAACAAACGGTATTTTTAACAACCAGATTTGAATCAACGAAGCTATTGTAAGAAGCAGGTAAACATGGTGAAACTAAACTTTCAGACAAGACAATTGATAAGACGCCTCAGTCTGTTTACTACACTTTGAGGAAACTTCATATAAAGTGACGCAAACGGGAAACGATCGTCTTGGCTGTCCGAATTCCCACAGTTTAATAATACGCAAACAATCCAACGCTTGTCTGGCTATAAACTGGCAGGTCGTTATTTAGCGTCGTCATATTGAACTGATTTTTGTCGTATTTAATTTCGACAGGAAATGCGATCCAACCTACATGCAGTTCGCCTTTTTTATGTATAGTTTCTTCGTGATCCAGCAGAACTTCGACGGCTTCCACAAATTCCTCAGATATGGCATGAAGAAGAGCGTCTTTGGTTTCCACTCTGTATTCTATCAGCAGCTCCACCATTTCCAGATTTTCATTATCAATGGCCATCAGCAGTGCGCTTCTTCCTAGTGGGTCCACGCAATTAATATTGATGTAGCTGGAATCTTCGGCCTTTTGCAACATTCTGCAGCATATAGAGAATGATGCATCAGCTAAAATGTAGCCAAAGACGAAGCAAAAGTTACCTTCGGGTAGAAGCCACGTCGCCTCTTTCTACTGCTAATAGGAACTTTTTTTCTTCGAGAGATAGTTGTGCGATTTCTTGGTGTGGTCGGATCACGTTCTCTTCTTCCATCATTCCATGGATGCTGTGTCTCTGAAAAAAGCAGAATATTAAAACCAACCGAAATTTTTAGTTTAAATTCGCAATTTGTTCAAATATTTTACAAAAATTTAAACACTTTCGAATATCTTTTGCAAAACGGTTTCCATTGCTATGCTTAGAGGCATGTACATTAGACTCCCTCATTTATTGTCGCTTAAGCTAATTAACAAAGTTGTAATTTAATGGTGTCTGTAAATGACTTTCGTTTTCCCATCGGGATATACATTTCATGCGTGGTGCTTATAGTTTTTTTTTGCCGATAAAAAGTAATAAATTTAAGAGCGCCTTTTCCAGGAACGACTTCGTTTTATTGCTCCTGGACGATACAGTTCAATCATTGTCGGCTAGCCCTTAGCAGTTGCATGTTAGTTATATCCAATTTTTGTACACTTTCTGCTAAAATTAATTTGTTTCCCGTGAAGAATCAATTACTATTTTCCTATAGCGCTTAATAGATAGGCTACTGTTAGGGAAATAGGCTTAACTGCACACTTCCATGTCGTTTTTGTGTCTGTAGTTTATCTGCAGTTTATGAAAGTGAATAAGGGTTGGAAGCTCTGCAATTTTGTTTACCTTTTTCTGAAAACGAATTTTTTTGATTTTGCGAGTAATTTTCTTAAACATGAATGTGAAGCATTTTGCAGTTTTGAATGATCCCATTTGTCTTATCTCATTCAGAATATAAACAACAAAGCGCATTCAAGTTTTCAAAGCTTTAAATATAATTTTTCTTCTTGCACTTCTTTCAAAGTAGCGAAATGCGTAGATTTCAAAAAATCGTCGCTTCTAAACCGGAAGAGTCAGACTCATAAATTTCCTTCTGAATTTGACAAAAAGTGGTTTTAATATGATCTGTAGGTGCCGTCTCAATGGCATAACTGAGAAGTTTTTGAGAATTTTTTAATGCCTTAAATTTAAACTTTTGGACCTCATTTCGGATTTCCAAAATTCGTGGTTTGTAAAAAAGAAAATGTCAACGTCCTGTTTTCTACTTGGACATTAGGAAAGGTGTTTCAAATATGGCTTTCGTTTCTATCGCAGAACTGAGAGGGTTTCGAGTGCTTTTTAAAACTTTAAATGGATTTTTTCCTTAGTCCAGTTTTAAAAAATCCGCTGTTTTCCAGAAAAAAAATATAGAACCATTGCTATCTTCCTGAACATAAATAAAACTGGTTTTATTATGATCTGGGGGTTTCAAATCGCCCAACTAGAAAGTTTTCGAAATTTTTATTTTATTTTAGTAACTCGTGGATTTAAAAAAAATCGTCGATTTCAAATTAGTTGAGGTAAAATTGCGATTTTCTACTTCCTCAACAAGAAGCGCATAGCTTTTAGTATGACTTGTGAGTTTTATCTCAATATGCTAGTTAAAAAGGGTTTAGAGATTTTTTAAAGGTTTAAATGTTGTTTTATGTGCCTCAAACCGGAATTTTAAAAGTTGTCCTTTCCAAACCAGAGGAAAGGGAATTGCAAAATTCGTTGTCAACATGAAATAAAACGGTTTTAGTACCGCATTAAAACGCGCTAAATGCTGCTAATAATATAAGATAATAGTAATATAGAGTTTTTCTCTCAAATTCGAGTTGTCGTGCCGCAATCAGGACTTCAAAACGTCGTCGTTTCTGCCAGATCATGAAAAATGGTGTTTTTAAAATTATTTGAAATCTCGGTCTCATTCAGCTTACTAACGGTTATTATTTTAGGGCTTTAAGTAGAGATGTTTGTCCGACTTAAAAAATTCATCGCTGCCTAACTAAAGAGATAGAACCGTAATTATTGCCCGCAGCTTGAAGAAGATGTTTTTTAATAATAATTTWAATAATATTATGTATGAGTGTGGTCTAAATCGGATAACGGAGYTGTTTGGCGTATTCCAGTAAAAATTCTTGTGGTATAGCTCGATTTAAAAAATGRAAAAAACATGGAAGAGCGTGTTTTGAGTATAATATGTAACCTTTGTCTCAACCGGCTAACTAAAAGCTATTCCAAAATTTCTTTAAAGCTTCAAGTAGTGATTTTAGTACTTACTGCAGTCCGGATATCAAAAAATAGAAGAGACGGAAGCGTTAAAGCGTTATTTTCATCTTTAACATTAAGGCAAATATTTTTAGGATAATGTGTGAGAACGCTATTAATCGGCTAACAAAATGTATGTTGAAAAATTCTCCACTTCGAAGCTCTTCAAAGAAAAACTCGAGAATCTGCAGGTGAATTTTATTCTGCAGGTGAAAAAATGTAGCTCCCAAAGTAGAGAATTGTTCAACGTGACGAATAGTATTCTTAATAGCATTTGTAAATTTTGTCTCAATCGGTTAACAAGGAGGTTTTTGATAAACTTTTAAATTTCCAGTGGATATTTTTATATTTGTGTGCTAATTTCSAAAATTTGTCGGTTGCAAACGGGAAGAGGTGGAGGCGCAATTATTTTGCCCAAGACGAACAAAAGTGCGTTTAACATGATTTATGAGTTCAATCTCAYTCAAAGGACAGAAACATCTTTGAGAATTTTTGAAAGCTTCTAGTSCAGAAAAAAWTGTCGCTACTAAACTACAAGAAGAAGAAGAAGCAGGMGTTTAGCATGAAAAAGACTGCGTTTAAGACGCCTTGTAAGATTCGCAGTTAAGGTCTTTAATATGAAGCATGTGGGAGTGGTCTTTAAATAATTTAAAGCTTTTAAGATTTGTGTGTGCCGAATTAAAGAACTCCTCGAGCTTCTACAGCCAAAAGTTGTAGAACCTCGTTCGTTATTATATTTCCGTTCGTTATTTATCGTTATTTAATTCCACAAGATGAAAAATTACAGTTTTACTATGATTTGTGAATTTTGTTTTACTCGATTAACAAGAAGGTTTTTGATCAAATTTCAACAAGTTGTTTTTGTAGCTTATACCACGTTTCAAAAATTCGTCCCCATTTTTATTGAAAAGATGACAAAACCGCGTGTAAGGAATCGTGAGTTTCATCTCAATCAGCCAATACAGTAAAGACGCTTTTAAGGATTTTTGAAAGCTTCTTGTGCATGTTCTTGTAGCTCAGTCCAGAAAAATCGGTCGCTACTAAAATAAAAGCAGTAGAATTACGATTTTCATCCACAACATGAAAAATGCTGTGTTCAATACGATGTGTGAACTTGGTCTTTCACGTCTTTAATATGCATCATACGTGAATGTGGTCTCAGTCGGCTAAACAGTTTAAAGCTTTGAAGATTCTGTACTATAATCCGAACTTAAAAAATTTCTCGCTTTCAAGCAAGAAAGGGCGTAATCGTGATTTTGTGGCTCCAATAAACAAGAACCACTTGGAAAATGATGTGTGTATTTCATATCGATCGTCTATTGAGCAACTTTTGATAATTTTTGAAAGCTTTAAATGTAAACAGATTTTTGTGTATCCAGTCCGGACTTCAAAAATTAATTGCTTTTAAACCAGAAGAGGTGAAAGCACCCTCTTCTTCCTAAATATGAACTGGAGTGGTTGTAATATTATTAGCGAGTTTCGTCTCAATCAATTGATTTAGATTTTTCAGATTTAAATGTAGATTCTTGTATTTCAGCTCGGATTTAAAACAATTCTCACTCCCTTACTAGAACAGATAAAATAGTGATTTTCGCCTTAAGAAACCAAAAGTCCTTTGAGTATGAAGCACGAGTGTGGCCTCAATCGACAAATGATGAATATTTTGACGATTTTTCAATAGTTCAAGTCAAGATTCTTCCTAAGCTTGAAATAGGAGCATGACATTCTTTTTGAACATGAAGAAGAGTGTTTTTACAATTTTGGATGAGTATAGTTTCAATATTCTAACGAGGTTTTTTTGAAATTTTTTCAAACTTCAAGCGTGTCTCAATATCAGTGAGAGTCGCCTCTATCGGTTGACCAGGAAGTTTGGATTTTTTTTCCTTGAGCTTCAAGAAAATATTCTTGTTCCTCAGTTCGTCGAAAACATGGCTTTTTCCTCAACGTTAAAAAAATTGCCTTTATAATGTTATGTGTAACTTTCGTCTCAATTGAAGATTCATGTACGACCATCCAGATTTGAAACGTTTGTGGACTTATCAATATTTTGAACGAACAGGTAATCAACAAATCAATTTACAGTTTAGAATGGTTGATAAAAGCATAAAGCTCTGCAATCTGGCTTATCATCATCCTTCCAGAATTTCCAATAGAATATCCCATCCTGCTAAACCTAATAATGTTTAAAGTAAAATTAAAAGCGCAAAACCTTCTTAGAATGGCGCATTTAATGCCACATTTCTGAAAAGAAACCATTATTCCAGAAAGTTCAGATAAGGTTCTTCGCTTACTGAATAACAAAACAGATAGTAAAAATCCTTGGTGGAAGTTGTTCAACGTGGCAAAAATCCAGAGCGCTGAAACGGCAACAACTATTGTTTCCTGGAGCAAAAAATCTATAACAAGTTGGCCGATGACAGTGGATGATGAATTAAAGCGATCGAATTACTTCAGGACTGGAGCTTAGGATAACCAATTAAATTGATGGGCTGTAAAACAATACATGGGGATACGTGTAACATGAGCTCTAAGAGCGTGCGTTTATCTTAGTTTTTTTTGCGTCAGCAGCCTAATGAAACACTGTCCTTTTTTCAGGATTTACATTGGAAGTAGGCGGTCATAATTCAGCATTTCCGAAATAGGGCAGTGCCTGGATACTGTTATTAGACGAGTATTTGTTCAGAAACGTGAGTGGAAATCCGATGTAAATTTAATCCAGAAATTCGTCGCAAAAGCTCTTTAGGCTTGGATAGATAAAAAGCAATTAGAATACCAAATGTTGCAAGCTGATTTTCGCACAGAACATGACTGGAAATTATGAGTTTTGCCCAATTGGAATTTAATTTTATTCTTTGCAGACCTAAAGTGGATCCAAAAACGAATCGAGATGGCAAAAAACTGGAATAATCCTTGAAATAATTTTGCATGGTGGAAAAGAGTCCTTTGCAAAAATTGCCACTAAGTTCGTATTTTCCTTGCCATTGAAGAAACAGGAGTAAGTCGGAGATCAAGCCATTAAATTGACCATGTATTGAAAAGGCATAAATACACCAATTGGCGAAAGCCTAGAAATTTGCAAAGAAGCTAATAAATTGACTGAAATATTCCTAGCATTGGCCGTATTTAAAAATTTCATTAACAGCATCAATGGTAAATGTTGCCGATACAAACTAAACATTTAGGGATTGAGTTTGAAAGTGGCAATTCTTTTCACCCAAGTCACTATGTTATTGCTTTGGTCCTACCATAAAGCCTTAAAATTTCAAATAAAGTGAAAGTAGCAAAATTGACAAGGRAACATGAARTCAGCTCTATGTAAAATAAAAGAAATATTGCTGAGCTCAGATRGAACTTGATAAAATAATAAAATTAACAAACTGTGTATGAATAGTGTGTTTTATAGTTAAAAAATTCATCTATTAAAGAACCTAAAGAACTTTCAAWAACAACATGGTTTTGCAAAGTTTTTTATTAGCAGCCCGAATTAACTTTAGTCGCTCCCAAGCTAGAAAACCAAGAAGCTTGATTTTAGTTTAGCAACAAGACATGATTTTGATTTGATTCACAAGACGAGAGATATTTTAAAAATTTTCCATGATTGTTCCGTTCCAATCTGAGATCGAGGTGGTTTTTGATAATTTTTTAAACTTCGAGTGGATATTTTTGTACTGCAGTCCGGCTTTTAAAATATAGTCGCTCTCAAGCTAACAGAGATAAAAGCATGCTGTTCTTACTCACAACGAAGAAGAATGTTTTTATATTATGTGAGTTTAGTCCCAATTTGCAAACAAAAAGGTTTTTAACAAATTTTTAAACATTAAATGAAGATTCTTCTATCTCAGCTCGGATTTCAAAAATTCGTTGCACCCAAACTAGAAGAGATGGCAACGCAATTTTTGTTCTCATCATGTCAAAAATTGTTTCTAGTATCGAGGATCAGTTATTGGTTGTATTAATTATCGATTAACAACCAGGTTTTTGAAAAATTTTCAAAGATTCAAGTATAGGTTTTTGGATGGTCTTGAATTTACCGATTTGTCGCTCCCACGAAAGAAGCGTTATTATCTTTTTTGCATGCCGAAGAGTGTTTTTAATGCGATATTTTCGTTTCGTCTCAATGTTCTTAAAGCAATATCTTGAAGAATTTTTCATTTTTCTGAATGTCGTTTCATGTTCCTCAATACGGACTTTAAAAATTTGTCGCTCCAAAGCTGCAAAAAGTAGTGGCATTTTCTTCCTCAAAATGCAGTTTTCAATATTGTACATCACGCGAAGGTTGTTGAAAAATTATCAAACTTTAACTGCTTATTTTTGTACTATCGTCCCAAAGCGCGATTTCAAGTTTGTTTCTCAATGTGAAGAAGGAAGTGAATATGAAATCGCAGTTAGATCATTATCGCTGACTAAAAAGTATTTGAGAATTTTTCGAATTTTCTACAGGATATTCTTCAACTTGAAAAAATTCTAGCTCCCGAACTAACCCTATCACGAAGCTGGCAATGTTAACAATTTGTATGTTTTGCAGTGGACTTTTAATTAAGCTAAGCGTTAAACTTTGAAAATAAGCAAACATTATTCATTTTCTATATTATGTTGAATTAACACGTTTTGGCTTGAAGCTGAGAACAACTACTTTCTTCTTTTCCTCCAAAATTGCTTTCTAACAGGCATGTTTCATCTAACCTCTTTAAAATGTTTAATTTACTTTTTATATACGCATTTTTATTACACTTAGAAAATTATAATCAGAAGAAATCGCCTCATCTGGATAACGAACGGCCATAAATAATAGAAAGCTTTTGAAATGAGTAAGTCTTGTAGCTCACAGTCGAAAGGAAAATTTCAGATGGGTGCATTAAATTTTTGATTTAGCCGTAAATATTATCAGGAATAAGATAGATAAAACACATTTGATTAGGTACATAATGTTGTTTTAAAAATAGTTTTATTGATTAGAATACTTTAAATAAAAAACTATAGAAATTTATTTAAAAAACCTTAAGTTTTTATTATCTTTTGAACACTGAAAGCAAAAAAAAATCCCTGAAACAAATATTAGAATAAACTACAAAAATTTCAAATACATACGACATATGTATTAAATCCCTCCATGAATCGACAAAGAAGCCGATCCTATCTAGTATATATTTCGACTAAGTGAAATGGTAAAAGCCGATTCGGGTGATTTAGGATTGAATAAGAAGAAGAGAACGCAGAACAAAACGACTCATATCTTATACGATTTAAGGCTGGGAAAACGAGAAATTCCATTAATAAATCTTATCCTCCCGTTTTGATATTTCCACCTTCGAGGACGTGTCACATACAGTTACCAGAAGAAGAATTTGTTTGAAACGTGTTTCGACTACGGCATGAAAAATACGTTTTCATTACATGTCTTGAAAAATATCTGAAATTTCCATTAAAAAAATGTAAAGTGCGAATTAAAGAACCTAAAATTACAATTGATTCCAAGGTTTACTTCCATAAAACCGATAAGTATATTTTCTTGCAATTAAAAGTCAGAACGGGAGTTGATTAATTCTCTCATAGCTAAGTGCCAAGGATTCGATTCTTTTCAAAAATAAACTATTGCGCTTTTTACGAGTTTTCGGAACAAAGGCAAATAAACGGCTCGCTTTTGTCTATACATTCAAACCAGAATTAACAGCCCTATCAGATCTAAACAAGTTAATTCAACATGAGAAGGTTGTTTTAATATGTGATTTTAGTTGATTACAATTTCAGAAGTTACTTACCTTAACTTTCTTATCTATGGGCGGTTTTTCGAGAAGATTCATCAAAGCACTGTGATCTCTAGGAATGTCTATGCAAGCGTCTCCCCTTCTGCCTGGAGAATTCTCCATCTCTTCCTTTTCTTCCTCATCTTCCACAGGACTTTCTGAAATTAAATATTGTTAGTTTTGGTACATGGGAGAAATTATCGGGATCTGTCCTAAAATATCACAAAGAAGCAGTTTAAAATCGCTCAAAATGAATCAAATTCTACACAAATCAATGTTGGATATTCTAATCTAGGAAAGCGGCGATAATGCAGATTTATTTCCTGGAGAGTGAAGTGGGAATAATTTCCTTGATGGTGGCGAAAAAATACGTAAAAACACGACCGCTCCAGAAAAACGGAATTTAATTTCAGAAGGGAGATATTCGGAAAGTCTTCATCCCACAATTAGGTTACGCTTTTATTTACTTTGAGTTCAATTCGTTCATTTTCCTTTGTATCTGTTAAAATGGTGAAATTCAATTTAAATTAATGAACTCTCAATGGAAATGAGCGAATGTTTTCATTTCAACTGTCCAAAGGGTAGCTGATTAAATCGTATTTTTTTCAACTGAATATATCAATGATTTTCACAGTTGGGATGATAGCAAAATCTTAACATGCTAATATATTTCACATACGAACGAAGTTCGTTTTTTTTCGCACTTTTCATGTAATTCCCAATAAACCCTCTAGAGACATGAAGCCGATTTTCAATCACCTTTGAGATGCATCAATAAAAAGACAGAAATTTGTTAGAGAATTTGGAATTGAGGGAAACACTCAAGGGATCTATATTCAGAAGTGCGTCAGGTTACCATAGAAAGTGAACAGAAATCCAGCTTAGCTGGAAATTTTTGGACGATTGATATTGGTGGATGGCTTGTTTCGGTTGCATCATCTGCAGAAATACGTGAAGATAAGAAATAATCTTTGTTGACAAAAACATTTCAAACATTGTATTCAAAATTACGCCTGCAATACACCTAAAACGGTGTTACGTTTTAGTAGTAGTTTAGTTTTGTAACACAAAGAGAGTAATTTGTTTGTCCCTTTCCTCCTCACCAGTAACTTCTGCAGATATGGTTTTGCTTTGGAGAGTCAACAAAGCAAACTTGCACTATTTTCCTATTTTTTCATGAAATATTTCGCAATTTTTTAAACAAAATTACACGAATTTATTAACAACACTATGAATTCCTGGATTGTACTTTTAGAAAAATCAAAACGGGTCTATACTAAGTCAGAGTATTCAATAAATATTCGCTATTGAGTATTGCACTGTTCATTTGTATTGTTTGTGTTATATTTTGTATTGCTGTTTTTATATCTTTTGTCTACGTTTTTATGTGACATTCGCTTTGTGCATAAAAAGTTTTCTGTGGCAATAAATGATACTTTGGCTTAATTATAAACATTCACCCAAATAGAATCCAAGATGTCAGAGTCTAAACATCTGTAAACGCGGGAACCAATCATAACTTAGTACTGGCAAAAATAACTGCCAACGTTCAATACAGTAAAACCCAAACACCCGTTAAAGTAAGGAAAATAAATATTGAATCACTTACAGTCCCATCAACAAAACTCCAATACCAACAAAGACTCGATAAGAAAATAGGAAGTAACCACATTGTAGAAACAGATAATGCTGAAGATGCCTGGCAAAAAAATTAAATCAAACATACTGAAATCCGCCGAAGAAGCTGTTGGAAAAAGAACATCAAATAAATCTAACACACCAAACAGCAAACCATAGTTTACTAAGGAAGTCAAAGAACTAGCAAACAAAAAGCGCAAAGCATACGTGAAATACAGATCACAAACCCTAACACTGGATGAATACAAAGCCGCAAGAAATACAACCAACAACAAATTCCAATACTCTTAAAGAGCACATTGGGAAAGTTTCTCGGCAGAACTGAACAAACACGATCACCAAATTGAAAAACCGCAAGTCCGCGGGAATAGACGAAATATCCAACAAATTAGTGAAGCACGGAGGGAACACACTATCCAAAGAGCTACGCGTTCTCTTTAACAAAATCATAGAATCCAAAAAAAAAAACAAACAAATGGAAAGAAAGCATGACCATTCCAATCTTCAAGAAGGGAAGCAAAAAAGACCCACCAAACTATCGAGGAATTACGGTATTAAGTTCAGTACTAAAACTATTCACTAAAATACTGGCAGAAGATACGTACATCCTCTCATGGCATATGCGAAGAGCAACAAGGCTTCAGAAAACACAGGTCAACAGTAGATGCCATCTTTGCTATCAGGCAAATTGCTGAAAAGGCTATAGAATCCAACAGAACAGAATATATGTGTTTTATAGATCTTGCGAAAGCATTTGAGCGAGTTACACTCACAGATGTTGTAAAATTTCTCAAAAAGAAAACGTGCATTCGGATATTCCAAGCATTGTTGTGGAGTTAGACACTAACAACTGGACCCAAATACAAGTGGAAGGCAGAAAGTCACGCAAACTACACATGCAAACTGGAATAAGACAAGGCGATAGCCTAAGCCATATCCTCTTCAACTTGATTACGGACGAACTTCTAGCGAAAGTAAAAAACGTCCACACATATACTGGCATGAAAGCTGGAATTCATCATCCCAGGTACAACTCTAAGAAACTAGAGGACAAGGCAGATGCCCTACAAAAAGGAAGAAGAAGAAGAAGACACTTCGTCCAACGATGCTCTAGTTCCGTGATCCCTTGCGAATAATAGGATTTGTCCAAGCCTGTAAATAGGCATTCGTTTCGGCAATCACCTCGTTTGAGTAAAATTTTTGTTCGTCCAGCCATTTTTTTCATGTTGGGGAACAAGTAACAGTGCGATGACTGTTGCAATAACCTTCTCTGCCGGAAAAACTTCTTCGTCTTCGCCCTTTTTGGTGCAGATCTCCTCTCTAACGTACTGTTTGGACTGTTCTGTAGTCTCAGGAGTGTAGGCCTGTTTCATTCAAAGTCACAAAACGACGCTTAAAGTCCTGCCGATTGAGCTGCAAAAGCTGCAAACCGTCCATGCGCCCATCTTGCGGATAATTTTTTTATACCCAAATATTGGTGCAAAATAATATGTACCCACTTATTCGAGATCTCTACAGCACCAGAAATCTCACGCATCTTTACTCTTGTGTCATCCATAACCATATAATGGATAAGTTCTATATTGTTGAGGCGGATTCATTTTTTACAAACTTCTTCTTGGGTATTTCGCCTCAGAATTTCTTCACGTCTTCTATTACAGATTGATAAATAGTGCTCCTATTTCGCAATAAGAACGAATTATTTATCAAAAAGTAATCAAGAACTATCACCCAGAGGGTGTAGCAAATTGTCAATTTGCACAGACGAATTATCAGAGCGAATTTTCATATTTTATATTATCCTACTATTGTTACACAATTTATTAACATACTCTTTTTTAGGTTCATTTAGGTTCTTTTGATAACGATAGCAGAAAATAGCTATCG